GGGCATCCCAAGACATAATCAGAATTAAAAGTCTTAGTTAATCAAGGGTTTCAGGCTTTATAGAAGAGCATGAAAAGTATGATATGGCTGCCTGCTGAGCTGTAGATTCTGCTGGAGGGATGGATCCTTAGTTCTGGGGTTTTATCTTTTTTCATGAGGTGCTCTGTCCTTTGTTCAGCAGCAACTGCAGCACTTCTCAAGACACTTGGAGCTCTAGTAGAGTGCATCTTCTCAGTAAATTTGTCCGAAAGATTGTACTTCAATTGGTACATATCAACAAATTGCTGTCAAGTTCTGTTATGTGCCTGTGCACCTTTTCTTCAAATATAAGGCTACAAATGTGTTGGGGTGCTTTTTGGGGTACAGGTTCATTATATCACATGTTCCTACTGCTTGATAATTAACCCTTCTGTAGCCTGGTCAGTGTCCTAGGTTTCTTTCTGAAGGATCATTTAGTTGTGGAAAGTATTGTCTTACTGTGCATGAAACAGCTGCTCAGAGCTTTGGGATCTCACTCTATTAAGTGGCCATCCAGCACTGCTTATACACTGGGACGGTGAACGCTCTAGGGGTAAATCCATTTGTGGTCCATGTTGTTACTGTTTTTAAAGGCATTCTTTAATGCTAGCGTAATCTTAACTATATTGTATCTTACTGTATAAAGATAAGATAGGAAATTGGGAAGGAGGAGGACATGCTAGGTGTTGGCTGACCACAGAGGTGAGCGTCATGCTTTAGAATTCATAAGATATTTAACCTTTAAGCATTCTGTTTTAATTGCAAGGAAGCATCCAGAAATAATGACTGCCTAATTTGTATTTCAAAGCACTAAATTTAAGTTTAATATTGCCACCAGAGGGCAGCATGTTACATGAGCTGGCAGCGCAGAACCTCTGCTGTTCTGATTTTAAGCAAAGGTGAACTTGGAAGATCTGAGTTTTGAAAAGTGTCAGTGATCCATTTACAAGTTTCTCCTGTTACGCTCAGCTTGTAGCGAAGTCCTGAAATACGTGTCGTGGCATTAGCTTTCTGAGAAAGAGAAGTGATGTTATTGACATCTACCAAGTGAAAACTAAATGTAGCTGTTCTATAACTTGCATTCTGGTGCCTAGTTTATTATTACTCCTGCATACAACTTCCATAAGACAGAGGTATCAGGAACTTATTCCCTCACCTCCTGCCTTGTTTTTACCAGTTACAGAATTCATTCTTCCTGGTTTTGTCTCAGAGGTAGTAAACCTACATTACTTGTTTACTTTGTGTGATAAAATGGGTGTCAAAGTTGATTTAACTCTGTGTTCAGTATTTTTAGGATTAATTTATCTTAAATGCAGCATCTGTACTGTTTGGTGTTTGAGGTTTTGTGTTGTGGGGTGTTTGGGGGGGGG